TCAGTAAGTTGTTTTTTCACAAACTGGATGGTTTCTTGAGTCCAGGTAATCATTTCTTATTACTAAATTAGTTGTTGATTACTTTAACAGTCGATTAATCGCCGATAATCCAATTAGTCGTTTCAGCACTAGTCCGATTCTTCAGGAGTTTAGTCTCCTGATCATGTTCTGTTATTAAAACAGATTTAATAACTCTTTAACTGAATCAACAGAGTCCATAAATTAATCTTTTGTGGTAGTAAATTACCTAAAATCACTGTACGGGTGGATGATCCAGAAGCCTGCGGACTTCACGCGTTCCCTCTCGTGCTCCACGGCCCTCTCGCTGCCCAGCATCCGCAGGGAAAACTTGTTGACTCCCGGCTGGAGCATCGCCCCGAACTGTCGGTGCATGAAGCCGGCCTGGTACAGCCGGTCATCTTCGGGTATGATCTGGTCCGCGCCCTCCAACTTGATGAAAGTTGACTGGTCGAACACGGACGGCTGCCCGGGTGCGCCGCCCTGCAGCCCACCCGCCGCCCGGTCCGGGGCCCCCGGCTCCCCGGGTGAACTCTCGCTGGCCCCGGCGTCCGTCTCCGGCAGGAGGCACCGCTGCTCCGCTGGATCCGAGCCCGCAGGATGCCTCCCGGTGATAGAAGAGATGCTACTCCGGAAAAAGCGGCAGTCCCCGTTCAAGTTGGTCTTCAGCCCTGAAACGTCCCTGTCCAAGTCTTCGCACCTGGCCTCCTCCACGCTCCTGCAACTGCTTGCGGGAGACAGAGAGGACAAATGTTTTAGCCGAATACTTTTCCTCCTGGTGTCCTTGTCGCCGCTGTCTCCTTCACTGTCAGTCACTGTGGGCTTTTGCACAATGTTTTGCGGCAAGCTGTAGAGCCGTTTGCGCATGGAAGACTGGAACCTTTCCATTTTTATTTATGAAAAGAAGAGGAGGAGGAAGAGAGGAGGAAGAGGAGAAAGAAGCGGGTGCTCTCTATGGACAGCCCCAGAAAACAGAGGGATAAATCATGGATCTCACACAGTGGGGCTCCCGCTGGAGGCAAAGCAGCAACAGCGCATCCGCAGGATGGCTCGATTCTTCTCTGACACTTGGGACGTGCCGCTCTCCTCCGGCTCAAACATTGACACGAGTCGACGGTATGCAGCCGCTTCAGTCAACACGCACATACCGGGCTGGAAAAAACACGAGAAACGCCAGAAAATCCAGGTGGGCAGAGAGAGAGACGGAGAGAGCGCGGCCGGCCGGGAGCGCATCAGGATGCAGCATGCTGAGCGTCGGACGTGCCGGAGTGGGAGAATAATACTGATGCTGCTGATGCTGCTGCTGCTGCTGCTGATGCTGCTGAGGTCCTCAATGACAAAGCAGCATCTCCACCTCTCCGAAATACCCGAGCTCCCTCAGTGCAAGGTGAACACGCACACGCGCGCACGCGCCTGGCACAGACAGCCGCCGCGCGTCGCTGATCCTCCCCGAAAAGCCTCCTGCTTTCCAATAACGCGAATATCGATGGAGCTGATCTATCGGGTTGCCAGTGGAGACGGGATGCGCCCACCCCACCCCACCCTGCCAGGGCAACTGGAGGGAAATATTCAGAGTTGGGGAGTAACTCGTTACATTTACTCAGTTACCTCTGAGTAATTTCATAAGGAAGTATTTCTGCTTTTAATTGAGTAAAATTTTCTCTTTTGTTAAAGTTTCACATTGAAATAAACTGATTTAGAAACATTTTATTCAGCCTAATTTATTTTTGTTGTTATTTTCATGAATTATTGCCACTTTGTTAAAATTTCCACTTGGCTTTATGTTACTGTAATTTTTAAACATTAAATAAATGATCATTTGATCAGTTAATCAGCACTTGAGTATACTTTTTTACTCTTATTTGAGTAAAGTCTTTAACTTGAGTGAAAATATGAAATACCTCTGATGGAAAACTGGCCTTGGAGTTCAGGGTTCACCTGGAAGTGTCATTTCTGTCTCTACCAGCTAACAACTGGCACAAACGCTGAGATCTAATACAATTTCAATGTGAATTAGGTTTTAAAAAGCATAATATTAATAATAAACCTGGGCTATGTCAACCCGGTCAAAATCAGCAATTTGTTTTTTTTCTGCTTGATTCTTATCATTTTAATTCATTTTTTTCTTGTTTGCCACATTTTGACCTATCTAAATGTAAAGTTAAAAATGATAGGTTGCTTTGGTGTTTTGACTATTATTGTGTTCCTTAGTTTCTCATTATGATTACATCAGTCTGGTTTCTATTTTACTTTAGTTCAATCTTTTCTCAGTGACTCATTTATGTTTATTTTTTCCTTGGATTTATTATAAGTTCTTCCTGTTAAATTGGATTTTGTTTGCCCCGTCACGCTTCTTGTTTGTTTTTTTGTTCTCCTCTGGCTCCCTGTTCTCCCTTCGCTTTTTGTAAAGCCTTAGTTCATTTTTTATTTTCTTTAAATTAAATCTTCAAATCTACTCTCTGCATTCGGGTCCTCTTCAAACAGAACATCATGACAGGTAGCAGAAATTATCCACAATTAGTCCATGATCCTCAACAAGGATTTCATTTTAGATATAAAGTCCATTTGTTTTTATAACCTAATTGTGAGTCATATTTCTCTAAATCTTTATTCCCGTAACCTGCCTGCTCTGGTGTTTGGCGTTTATGGTGACGTTTGTTTCCTAATGTCCTCTAACAAACCTCTGTGTTTTGGTCACAGCTGGGAATGTTTTTCATCGCGATGGTTTCTTGTCTGTCGGTTGCCACATTCTAACACCTGAGCTCTGCTAATAAATCAAATAAAAACAGCGTGATAAAACTTATGGCTTTAATTTCTGGTACGACACTCTGAAGTTCATCAGATCTCCATCGGTGAAATCACCCTGAAAGAGACATCAAAATTATTAAAGCTTCATTTTCTCCTCCATCAGTTAAACCCTTCATTGGTTTTCCCTGTAAATAACTTAGTAAATGATAAAACAAAATGAAAAGGGATCGTTTTGTGTATTTTGATCCCTCCAATATGTTCTCACTTTGTTGGTTCTCATCAAGACTCCTGACAGCTGTAAATCCCTCACAGCGTCACTAGATGGCGCTCTTCTCATAGTGTTTTCACAGGGAGAGCTGCAAGGAAACAGTCTCACCAATGGAGGAAATGACAGGCCAGCTTTTATTTTGATATTTCACTTCCACTAATCGGCAAACTAATATGCATACAAGTTAAATATTTAGCATTCTAAATATCTAGCTAGTAAGTTAAATATTTAGTTTTGCAAATAAATATTTAGTTAAAAAATGTAATGTTTTGCTTGAAATTACATGTTTACTTTGGAAAATATGCTATATATTTTGCTTAGAGATAAATATTTAGCTAGCTAGAAAAATAAATATTTGGAGGTAACATATTAAAAAAATTAAATATTGAAAATAAGTTTCAAGTTAAATAGTTAGAAAGCTAAACATTAAGTTCAGCTGTCTAAATATTCATTTTGCAAATAAATAGACAAAACTATTTTCTGAACTAAAGTTTTAGTTGAAAAAATATTTAGCTCCAAATATTTCTTTTGGAATTATTTAGTTTGAAAACTAAATATTTGGCTTTCTAACAAATATTTCATTTGAAGGTTAAATATTTAGTTTCCAAACTGAGCATTTAGCTCCAATTTCAATATTTATTTTGGAACTAAATATTTAGCTTTCTATTTTGAAAGTCAAATATTTAAACAAAATATTTAGCTCCAATTTAAATATTTATTTTTGGAACTTTGACATTTGTAAAGGCATGAATGACATGGTTAAAATATGACCGAACGTTTTTTTCATGATGAGCTAAATAAAATAAAATATTGTTCATGTTTTAATGTGTAACTTCACAAATAGCCTTCATGTTTGCTGCTCTCCCCAGCTGTAATTCCCTCATGATCCCACTAGATGGTGCTCCTCTCCACACATTTTTCACAGAGTTATTCTAAACAACATATTAAGTTATACATATGCTATATATAAGAACTGCTTGAAGAAAACACCACAGAGTTTGTTTGTCTTGATATATTTATTGTTAAAAATGAGTTGAAGTTCAGGGAAACGTGTCGGCTCTGACATGGCTCTCTCTCTCTCTCTCTCTCTCTTTCTCTCTCTCTCTTTCTCTCTTTCGCTGCCTCCCATGCCAGCTGATGAAAACTCATGCAGCTGTGTAAATATGCCGTCGATGCTCTACGGTGGTCCTACGAGTTTAAAGCTTTGTCACAGAGGAATCAGAAGCTGCAATGACTTTCAATATACTGATATGGATAATAATTGCATAGGATAATAGCCATGCTATACAATACACATGAATACAAAATAATATGTTAGAATGATTTGTAACATATTTCCTAAAGTAGATTTGTACATTTCGTCGTTATTCTTAATATTTTAAGTGCATCATATGATATGAATAATCTATATATTAAATGGTGATCTGATACATAATTATAGCGGTTTATTACATACAGTACATACATGAAGTAAACCTTTAACAGCCTTAGAGGGACACTGCAAAGCCCTTAAATGTGATATACATATATTTTATATATATTTATATGATATAATAAAATGAGTTACTGGTATGCAGAAGAATGATAAAACTATACACATCTGTCATACCGGATTAAGGTGATCTTTTCTTTTACATTGCAGGGTTTTTGTTTTTCACAGTAGTTTTCACAACCTCAGGAAAAAAAAATAATAATCATAATAATAAATAAACAGGAAGAAAGCCAATTCTGTATCAAACAGAAGGTCAACATTTCGCATGCATTATTTTATAAGTTGTAAAAATATAAAATTAGCGATTAAGCAGGAAAAAACTCAAACAACAACCGCATGCAGCAACAATGGTTATCGTGGTTTGAGTAGCTTCATGTCTCACATCCTCACGTTAAAATAATAAGGCATGCCTCATTTGATCCCCACAACCACTCCTCTAATGGCAGATACATGTATGAGTGACAGCTATGGAGTCCCTTCTTGTTTACCTTCAGATGGTCAATACATGATTTATGAGACCTGCAAACAGAGAGAAGATTTAGATCATTAAACCAACATCTTTAGTGCAGATTATCATCTTCCAGTGTCTCTTTAGGAACTATAACAATATATAAGAACTGCATACAAAATTCATTCCAACATTACTGCCATGAGTGTTCATTAATTATTTAAAAGGAGCTAAGAAAAAATAAAAAATGTACTCTGAAATAGCACAAACTCTCCTAGATATTTTTGGTATAGTTTCTTGCGCAAAGACTGAAAAATAAGGCCCTACCTAATAGGTGATTTTTCATCAATATATGGGAGGGCGTTTTATGCAAATAATTGATTCATATTGGCAAAAAGTCGACATATTTCACATGTGGAACTAGAAGTTTTTTTTAAAACAAAATCAATGAATTATTGACTTAAGATACATATATCAGCAGCAATCTTCCTGCGTTCATTCTACAGAAAATATTTCCTCAGCTTAAATCTGAGATTTTCAAAATATCTGCATTTCTTAAATTAAAGTTTTACAAGCACAAAAGGATTATATGAAGGCACTATTCACCTTCCATAAACAGGTTAATGAAGGCCTACCAGATTACCAAACATGCTGGAGTTCCCTTTGGGTTGCTAGGTAACTGGGCTGGAGTTCCGGTTGCTAGGTAACGGGGCTGGAGTTCCGGTTGCTAGGTAACGGGGCTGGAGTTCCGGTTGCTAGGTAACGGGGCTGGGCTCGGCTGGGGTTGGAAAAGTTTTTTTTTTGTTTTTTTTTTAAATTGCTTGTTTTGTTCAAAAAACATAAACTCATTGCCATAAATGGCGGCGTGTTTTTTTAATCCTTTTAATTATTCATATTTTTACGCTTGGGCTGATTTTAGAAGCCGCAGAAACACAAATGGAATTACAAAAATGTGCAAAATGTGAGTTTTGTGCAAAAGATCCCCTTTAAAGACGAGCCAGGCCGTGCGATCAAGGAGACAATTCCCAGAAGTTGACTTGAACTCGTTGTCTTCGTGACTCAATGTGACTGACGCACCAAAAACTGACTCAGTCAAAAACGTCAAGCCGCGTCTGAGAAACATCTACCAGCAACAAATGTCTGATTTCTTCCCTCGTTCTTTTGCCCAGACGTGAGCATTTCTACCCCTACCCTCCAACATCTCTTATTTCTGTCAGTGTCCCGCTCTGAGAAATAATCATTTAGCCTCCAGCCTTGTACAACATGACAGGTTCAAATCCTGTGACTTTTTAAACTGTTATTTTCCAATTGATTAAAAAAGAAGTGTAATTTCCTGACTGGTTGTTGGTGAAAATTAAACTAAAAATCAGCAGCTTTTCTCATTGCATCTCTTGGCTGATCAT